TTGACCACCTTCGACCTTTCCCCTTTCCTTGGGAATGGAGCCTCCTCTTTATAATAGAGAAGAAGGGGGTTCTGCCAACATTCAAAATGATGGAAGGTTTTAGTATGTTAGGGTTTGGAGGGTGCTGATACAAGTTTAGAGGGGGTGTCCAAGCAATTAGGGTTCAAACAAGGTAATTTAAGGTTTGGAGGTAATTTGGGATAAAAGGGTAATCTGGTAATTTGGAGATTCAGAGGTAATTTGGTAATTTGGGGTTTGAAGGGGTAGGTTTAGAAGGGTATTTAGGTAATTTGAGGAAAGGGTATTTTGGTAATTCGGTTAAGGAGTACCTTGGGAATTTAGAAGGGGTATTTTGGTAATTTGGAATGAGGGATATTTTAGGAGTTTGGTTTAAGGGGTATTTTGGTAAATTTGGATGAAAGCTATTTTGGGAATTTAGAATGGAGGGAATTTTTTTTAATTTGGTGTAAGGGGAAAGTTTAGAATGGAATTACAATACGCTAGAGGGGTCGGAAAGTCTGATTGGGTGTTTGGGGTGATTTTGGAGTTTAGGCGGGGGACTAAGAAAAAATTAGGTGCTAGCAACTGCCTCTCTTTGTTGTGAGGTAGCAAACTACAAAATAACAAAGACCCAAAAGAAGCACACAGAGATTTTTGTGACAGGCAAGCTTGGAAATGGTCAAAGTAAGGAAGGAAGGTTAAGTAGAGGAAAAAGGGTTCCCATACAAAGTCATTCCATCGTGTAAAGGCCATTTATTCTTGGCAAAGTGACATCTTCTAAGTATAAAGAAACCTTACAGAATCAGGATACATTTGTCATAAAGAAAATCATTTGAAAACAGACAACATACAGAATTAAAGCCAACTCAAGAACATGATATTTCAACTTAATCACAAGTCAAAACACTCATAGATATTCTTCAGTTCATCTTTTTGAAAACATTTTGAAGGATTTTAATAAAACACTTCGAAGACTTGACAGAGGTCTTGTGGTTGATATAATGTAACTACTCTTTAGTCAGGTACGAAGTATCCTTCCATGCAAGAGCAATTTATGCTCAGAAAACCTGACAAAACACTCGATGATTCCCATGAAAGTGTAAAGCGTTGTTCTTTCAAGTGCATAACAGTGTCAATAAGATGCTAATGCATGATTAACATGATTCCTTAAATTACTATTCTAACTCATGCTCCTTAGAGATGATGGGGGAATTTTAGCACAATAGTGGGACTAGCAAAGGTTGTGAGATTTCTAGACATGTTGCCACACTCTTAGAAATGAGGGAGGACCTATCATCAAGATCAAAGTTTCTTTTTCTTTTTTCACAATATGTTATGTTGTAATCAGAAATAAAAACACTAAAAACAAAAAAATATGCATTATGCCACAACGCAATCAATAATCCACCATATGACAAATTAATGATAATTAAGCTATGTCATGATGAAAAACGATGTTAAGTTTTTGCCACGAGGGATTTTAATGCCTTAAGGGACTTTAATGTTATAACAAACTTTGATGCCACAAGAGACTATTGCTGTAATGGACTTTGGAACAAATACGATTGGCTGATCAAACATTGATTTCTATGCCATGGTGCAAAAGACTGATATGACTAATTAAAAGATTAATGATTTGTTTGCCATGAGGGACTTTGATGTCGTAAGGGACTTTAATGCCACGAGGGACTTTGGTGCCGCAAGGGACTTTAATGCCACGAGGGGATTTGGTGTCACAACGAACCTTAGAACAAATACATTGACTGATCAAATATTGTTAGCTAAAAGATTAAGGATTTTCTTGGTCACGAGAAATTTTGATGCCACAACGGACTTTCAAATAAATACATTAACGGATCAAACATTGGTTTCTATGCCATAGGGTGGAAGATTAATATGATTAGCTAAAAGATAAAGGAATTCTTTGCCACAAGGGGCTTTGATGCCACAAGGGACTTTGATTCCATAACGAACTTTGGAATAAATATAATGCAAATGAGAAGTTAATTATTTTTAAATAAAATATATTATTTCTATGCTTGATATGTGTTATGCCGTGATGCAACTAATAATCTATGGTATTTCAAGAAATAAGCAATGAAACAATGATATCTTGGCCACAAGGGACTTTAGAACAAATATATTTCAAATGAAAAACTTAAAGTCTGGTGTTGGACCCACTTTGGAAAGCCAAAAGCTACTCCACTTCAGCCCTTTGGGCACTCAAGTTTCAAACTTTCAAATACATTGACAATCTTAATTGCAAATTGATGAGGGGTAATTTGGTCCTCTAGTGATACCGCAACATGTGGCATTGTAGAACAACAGAGTGACACCTCGGCACCACTTAAGCAGATAACTTCAGACACTTCAATGACCTCGGCACCACCTCGATAGGCTAAACTGCAAACAGCTTGGTAGGACCTTAGGTCGGCGTAAGAGGAGACCTGCTTCCATCAATCTAACATCACTCCGGTTAGCAACCTGCCTAGTGTGCYGAGCGACCTCCCACTTAAATAGACCATTGCCTCCAAATTCCCCGGGATCACGATGCCACATTGGAAGAGCTGGCTATCAGCCCGCTCGCTTCAGGCGGGGTTGGATAAACAATACTTGCTTGCACGGAGTCCATCTCCAGGTGTGAAACCACCTCTGAACCAAATGGGCTAGAGATCCCTAATGCATTTCGAGAGGCTCACAACAGCCAGCCTATATAAGGGCCTCACCCTCATAAGGTATGCATAATTTAGCACATAAGCTCTCTAGCTCTCTCTTGTTTCCAACCTCTCAAAAAAACATTCCAGTTTGTTGACTTAAGCATCGAAGTGCCCACACCAAGTAAAGTAGCCCAGGTACTCTGATCTTGTCTTTTTCTTTGCAGCTCGACCAAGCAACCTACCTAGTCCGACATTTGAGTGATCCTCCAGTAGGGAGCTACCAAATCACGCACCATCACAAATGATATTCATTTCATCTTAGACTCAAATCGGATTCCAATCTTAACATAGGTTATCTTATTAAAATTTATATTGCAAACTTGATTTGGCATTGTATGTATGCTAAAAGAGATAAGTTAAAGTCTATTGAGGGCATTTGATAACAACTCAAGTGTCTGAATTGAAAAGCTTATTGCTTTGTCTTTTTAGTGAATAAACTTTTATTGTAAATGAAGGGATGAGAGATCCATCATATGGATGGCCGAACCCTGCAGGAAGGTAGGGCGAAATTTCAATAATTTCTCTCTCTCCCATGTGGGAGAGGGATATACCTGATACGGAGTAGTAGTAAACCCCAACGAAAGTGTTCACACCCAAGGAGATTACCAAAGACTGCTCCCACTAAAGATGACACAGCATAGGGTGGAGCAGAATCAGYAGGATGGCTCTTCAGCAAGAACCTGATTCTTCACCAAGAATCTGATGGAGGGCAAGTGAGCATGACTTCAGATCACCTTTTCTGCCAAAAGGTGATATCAAGAACCCTTTCTTGATCGCTCCTACAGGTGGAGATCGAATTGGAAAAGGCGATAATAGCAAGAGAAGAAAAGAGCAAAAGATGGCGTCAGTCCAACAGTATGCTATCTTCTCTCTTGTATTAGAAAGACTGAAGGATGATTTGGGGTTCTCCCTTCTCCTCTCTTTATACCCTTAAAGAGAGGTTCTCCTAATCCCATTAGGTGTTTCGTAATCCAAATCTTGTATTTGGATCTAGACTCTCTTTAAGAGATAAGCATAATCCCTTATCTTATCTGCAGATCAAGATCAGCCCTCCTAATCTAATAAGGAGTTTCCAGATCTAAATCTCTACTTGGATCTGGACTCTCTGAATGGATAGGGACAATCCCTTATCCTATCTGTTGATCTAAATCCCAGAATCGCCCATCTTTAATTAATCTAATTAAGCCAGTTCGAATTGGGCTTTAGGCCCATTAAGTCTATGTGCTCACTTATCCTCCAAACTGCTGCCTAGTTGGATGTCCTTGTATGGCGTGGAACCCAAACTTTGATGTACACATCAGCCACATGGGTTCAACCCAGCCTCTGTTACAAGGCCTGACCGAATTCACTGTACGAGACAGTGAACCCCTGAGTCCATCACCATGGGCTCTTAATGGGCCCAACATTTACACTAAATTGTCCTTGGGTCAAGCCACCTTATAAAAACCCAAGGA